CTGAGGAGGAGCTGGGGGGTCCTGAGGAGGAGCTGGGGGTCCTCGGGGAGCAGTTACGAGACCCTGGGCTGAACGGGGGGTTCAGTGACTACCAAGAGATGCCGCGGGGTGCCAAAGCCCCCGCAAACCCCCCTTTCCCAGCCTTCCCCGCCATGAGCCGCCACCATCGGGATCTCCTGGCCCCCTCCCCTCCGCGGCGAGACCACCGCCCCCTCCCCAAACCCACGGCCGCCGCCAAAGCCAAACGCCTCCGCAGCAAACGGGAGCGCGACGCCGCCAAGTTCGGCCCCAAGGCGCCCCCGGGGGGCTCCCGGCGGGGCCCCCGCTGGCTGCAGCCTCCCCCGTGGGGGGGTCTCGCTCTGGGGACCCCCCTGGGCGCCCCCAGACCCGTGGTGATCACCCAGAACCGCCTGTGCCACCGCGGCCTCTTCAAGCACGAGGTCAAATCCCTGGACGTCCGGCGCCTGCTGACCCCCGGCCCCGCCGGGGACGGACCCCCGGCGCCCCGAATTGAGGAGGGGGAGGCCGGGGGGGTCCCGGCCCGGGCGCTGAAGGAGCTGGTGGCGGGGTTGGCCTCGCTGCTGGGCGGTTTTGGGGCGTTTGTGGGGAGGGATTTGGTGAGCGAGCGGCGCCGCGGCCTCGTGGCCGCCCTCAGGAGGCACCGGCGGGGACCCCCGGACCTGGGGGTCTTGCTGGCACACCGGACCCCCGCCCAGCCCTCAGGTACAGCCCCCCGCCCCGGGGGGAGGGAGTGTTTATAGCCAAAAAGTAACTTAGTTTTTGGTTTTACCCCCAAAAGGTCACGGGAGCACGTGGGGAGAGGCGAGGCCAGGAGCAGCGGGCAGTTTGGGGGAGTGGGACCCCCCTGTTGGGACCCCCAGCCCACCTGGTGTTGGCCATGTGGTGAGTGCCCCAAAAAGGCTTCAGAAGTACCCCAAAAACACTCCAAAAGTACCCCAAAAGTGCCCCAAAAAGACTCCAAAAGTGCCCCAAAAGTATTTCAAGATTGCCCCAAAAGGGCTTCAAAAATGCCAATTGCCCAAAAATTGCCCAAACACCCAAAAAATGCCCCAAAACTGCTTCGATTTGCCCTTAACTGCTCCCCCCTGTCCCCGCAGCCCCCCAGGGCCCCCAGCCCCATTTTTGGAGCCCTCAGAGAGCGGGAGGTGAGTGGAATTTGGGTGGGGGGCTCCCACCGGGGGGGGGTCCCACCCTGGTTTTTGGGGGTTTATTGACCCCCCCCCACCCTGTTTTCGGGGGGGGGGTTATTGCCCCCCACCTTATTTTTGGGGGGGGTTATTGCCCCTCACCCCCTTTTTGGGGGGGGTTATTGCCCCCCACCCTATTTTTGGGGGGGGTTATTGCCCCCCACCCGGTTTTTGGGGGTTTATTGACCTCCCCCTCCCCCACAGAACCCCTTCTCATGGAGCTCAGCCGAGGATGAGGAGGATGAGACCCCCGGGGGGCTCCTGCCACGACCCCCCCCCTTCTGGAGGACCCCCCAGCCCCCCCAGGAGGAGGAGGAAGGGGAGGAGGGGGGTGGGGATGAAGGCTGGACCCCCATCGCCCCCCCTGTCTTCAGCCCAGACCCTCCCCCCGGGGGTCCCCCCCCATCCAGAGACCCCCCCGGGCCCCCCCCCGCCCCCAAACCCCCCCAAAAGGGGGGAG